AACAATCAGCTGTTCTGCATTCAATAAGATGCCACAAAAATTATTTGTGCCACTCCAAAAACATAATTTCTGTCCACTTTAAAGGAGAACGTCACAGCCTGATACCTGCAGGTCTGACAGCAGCAGGTGTATAACTCCTGTTTTATACTTGGAGACAGCAGTCGCCTCATTGTTCTGACACAACACAAAACTATCCACAACACTACACACTAACTACACACTCCAAACACGCTAAACGTCACAAATCTCTCACATCTCAAAACTCGCTCTCTCTCTTTTTCTGCTGTCTTTCTCTCTCTCTCTCGCCCTCACTCCTAAAACTTGCCCTGTTTTTCTTTCCCTCTCTCATAAGCAGAGAGGTCTCGCTGCGCTGTCAGACAGTAAACGTGACGAAACTATTGAGGAAAAACGCTGCGTATATATTGTTTATCATGACTCTGGTATATACTGGTATATATCACCTTGTTGCTTTGTCTTTAAGTGGTCATGTGATTGGATTACCACGACTACTTTATTCTTCCTCAGTCAAACAGCAGCACTCATGCGTTTGTTTTGCCCCCTTAGCTCCAGGTGTTGTGCTGGACAGTGATCGTGATTACCGCGGGAGCTGCTTAAAGCTGTAGCGTCCAGATTACTTACGTAGTCAGCTACTTCCATGCAACTGATATAAGATGCAGTAAGCTGAACACAGCTTCAACCGTCTGTTTGTTGAAAAATAGCAACGGATCGCATTTTCTTGTTAGTAACTGTAACAGCGTTGTAACAATAGGAATAGTAATTAGTTAGATTACTCGTTACGGAAAAAGTAACGCCGTTATATGTAATGCCGTTATTCCCATCACTAGTCGTCAGTGCATGTGTGAGTTCAGGGTGGTTATGGCCTTTGAAAAGAATTTATTTGTGAGTCTGTGGGCCTTTGTGCTTTGTGCTGATACACCTGCAGCACTTCCCTGAGGGAAGCAGGTTGAACAGGCCGAAACCAGGGTGGGAGCTGTCTTTGATGTTTGCTGCTCTGCTGAGGCAACAGGAGGAATAAATGTCCATCAGGGACGGGAGAGGGCAGCTGATGATCTCCTGTGCTGCCTTGACTACACTCTGAAGCCTTGCTCTATCTGCCTTGGAGCAGATGCGGTAACATACTGTGATGCAGTGTGTTAGTGACTCTCAACGGAAAACGTGCTTTGAAAGGTCATGTAGAGTAGAAAAGTCCTGTAACCAGTCCATTTAAAAAGACAGGTAAAACCAAACTTCTCAAATTTGGACACATCAGACCAAAGTGCAGATTTCTTAGCCCAAACAAATCTCTTCTGCTTATTGCTTTCCTTAGTAGTGTTTTTTAGCAGCAATTTGACCATAAATGTCTGATTAACACAGTATCCTCTCAACAGCTGATGTGGAGATGTGTCTGCTACTGGAACTCTGTGTGGCATTTGTCTGGGCTCTAATCCGAGATGCTATTAACTTTAAGCTGGCCACTCGGATGAATTTATCCCCAGCAGCAGAGGTCAATCTTGGTCTTCCTCTCAAGTGCGACTGCACTTGGGGTCACATTTGAAGTTTTCCACACTGACTGACCTTCAGTTCTTAAAGTAATGATGGACTGTCATTTCTCTTTATTTAGCTGATTGGTTCGTGCCATGATATGAATTCTACCTGCTGTCAAATAAGGCTGTCAGCTGTTTACCGACCTGACTTCGGCACAACACAACTTGTGGTCCTAACCAAAGCAAGAAATTCCACAAATGATCCCTGACACACCTGTGAAGTATTTCAGGTGACTACGTTATGAAGCTCATTGAGAGAAGGCCAAAGGTTTGCAATGCAGTCAACAAAGCAAACAGTGACTACTTTGAGGAATCTATATTATATGACATATTTAGAGTTATGTATATATATATTTTTGCTACATAATTCCATAAATCTAGCCTAATATATTTATAAATTAATAATATATTTAGTGTCTTTATTTTGTATCTACAATGTTGAAAGTATTACATATTTAGAATTATGTAATTTTTTTTCTTTGCTACATAATTCCATATATCTACCTTAACATATTAGGTTTGTATCTACAATGTTGAAAGTATTAAAATTAAAGAAAAACCATTATATGAGAAAGCGTGTCCAAATTTTGTGACTTGTAGTTTTAATAGTGTTTTCAAGCATTAGTAAAATGAGTAACATGCATTACTCATCTAAATATATATTAAAAACTCACAGAGCATTTAGTATGATATGACCTCTGCCCTGCTACCAAATCCTAAAAGGGGACAGTGCACATTGTTTTTTTCCTTTCGATGATACCTCAAGGCTTATCTTTGCTGTAGAGGACAGTTTGAGCTGGAAAATGAAAGCGTCAATAGAAACTTTGCCACACGCCCACAGACACACACTCACAGTTTCATAGTTTTTTTATCCAGATTTAGTAAGTCCCTAGATACTGTGGCACTTTTTATTTTTCTGGTCACCTTCCATAGCAATACCAACAATAGCCATTAGATGGTAGCAGAGCTGATCTGTGATCTTTGCCAGATAACCCGTCACCGCCAAATCATCTGAAGAAAAAAAGCTTTAGCATTGCGGAGGTCTGTGTGTACTCAGCCAGAATATATCAGTACCATATACATGTAAGTAAAAAAGCTTTATGTTGTATAAATGTTTACTTTATCAAAAGCAATAGTTGTCAGGAATTAATACTTAACCTTTCTACTTTTGATCATTTATGAATGAAAGTGTAGTGGGAGAGAATCCACACACATTGCAGTTCTCCTTTTTTGTTAGTTTTGGGCCTAGAATAGAATTTAGATCAGGGAGTATCTCCTGATTAGGTTGAGCTTCTGGATGGCATCTGGGTTAAAAAGTTGAAAATCAGATTTGATATTCTTCACAAGAAATAAACACTATTTGTGCACCACCTCACTTCCTTCATAATCATAGCATCACTAACACCCACTGAGCTCCCGTCATCTGATTTCACACAGTCTGACCAAATAAATATAGAAAGTCTTTGGCTTTATTGAGTAGAAACAAGACACCATTTTTTAATCAACCATATTCCAGTTACAGACATGCACAGAGTCGTGCTTCACGGGTATATTTGACTGCTGACCACAAGCTTGGTGTGTCTGTTTCAGAAAAAAACAGTTTCAAAACACTTTAAGATTAGGAGTTAACCACAGTGAGTGTTTTTGAAAGCCAGTGCAGCTCTTTTCTTGTAAAAGCATTCATACACTTTTAAGTTAAGTTCAACATCTAAATAACAGACATGTTCTTTTGTTAGTATTCGAACTTCACATATGCTAAGAACCACATGGCTTGCATCTGTAGCTAAATGAATGCACACAAGCTATATCAATTTATAGACATGCACACCAAACCTGATCTGAAAATGTACTGTACAGCTTGTTCAAGTACAAGCTGGATAAACCGCTGCTTACTGTAAGGTATAAAGGAAGTGCAGAACAAAAAGAAACTAAACTATTTGCTTTTCAGCATATCACATGTGTTTTTGAATTTAAACATTAGTTTTCGGAGCGTCTGTTGTGAGTCAATTAATGATTTTCTACTATGGGTTGGTAGGGACCCGCCGAGGGGATCTCTGCGATGGTTCCTGGTTCTGCTGTGACAACAGGCGGATTAAATCAGTTGGATGCCACATTTTTGCTTAATAAAACACTCACCTTTATTGCAAAAGTACTTGGCAAAGTTTTTAATGTTGCTTAATATCTACTATTAAAATATTTTTAATCACAGTTTAGTGTCATGCATGGCTATGAGTCTAAAGGACAGTTCACATTCATCGTATGTTGGAAAGCTACAGAGACAGGTAACTACAGTAACATCAGTGATAATGTTTCTTATGACTAAGTCACAATTTCACTGGGTGGATTTGTTGGATTCGTTTTTTGAGCTAAGCTAAAAATGTATGATTTTTTGGATGAAATAAATAAATCTAAGCAATAAGATCACCCTTTTCTACACTTTAGCTCAAATACTTACAGGTACTGAATATATATAGTTAAGATCCATTGACTCCATTTTAATGCTGTATCTGGCCACATTGTCAGTGAGCAAAGTCACTTAAATTATTTTCCTTGTCCATTCTGATTCTCATTTTTGAACATCAGTAGATCAGTACACCACGTGTGCAGTTGATATTTAATTTATATTAACTTTTATTAGGCTTAATCATAAAATTTTCTGCAAAGGTGTAATGTGATCAACAATTGGTTTGAACTGACAAATAATAGAGGATAAACAAAACCGGATAATTCTGAGTTACTTCCATGTTTTCAGTCTCACTCATACCTGAGCGTGTTTTTCAAAGCTTTAAAACATAAAAACCGTATGCCATCAGTTGATAAACAGGAACTTTCAATTTCAAGTTATGATTGATAATTTAAAGTGAGATTTATCTTACAAAAGGTTGGGAGTGATTACAGTTTACAAATTTTATATTTCATTTGCATAGTGTAATTATGATTTCTTGGGCCAGCTGATGGCTTTTTATACGGGATCTGCATGTTCTGTCTATGAACTGATTCTGAGTCTACTCTCCGAGAGTATTCAAAGCACTTTATACAGCATGTGTTATTCATCCATTAACAGAAGAACTTTCTTCTATGGTTAAGAGCTTTTTCAGCATTCACACTCTGATGGATGCATCAGAGAGCAACTTGGTGTTAACATCTTGCCCAAGGATCTTTGGCATGCAGACTGGAGCCGACAGGGATTGAACCACCAACCTTCTGGTCACTAGATGTTAATGAATCAGCCCTTTTTCATCTGCTTTTACTCCTTAGTGGCTAAGGGTTGTCCTTCCAACTTGCAGGAAGCTGCCCACCTCCACTGATGGTAAATGGTAAATGGACTAGTTCTTATATAGCGCTTTTCCACTCTTCTGAGCACTCAAAGCGCTTTACACAACTTGTGCATTCACCCATTCACACCCATTCGCACAAGCACAACTGACATTCACACACATTCATACTCCGATGGATGCATCAGAGAGCAACTTGGTGTTAACATCTTGCCCAAGGATCTTTGGCATGCAGACTGGAGCCAACAGGGATTGAACCACCAACCTTCTGGTCACTAGATGACCTGCTCTACCACCTGAGCTACAGCCACCCGATGAAGATGATCTCAGTCCAGGAGGGAAATACAGCATTCTGGTAAGGTGCCAAGGGCATACACAGTGGGCTGTGGTAGACTTATCCAATTTATCAAAACCCTGGTCCTGGTTTGGCCTGGGGTGTTGTTCAAGGCGGAGTTGGCGGAGATCAGTGGTTTACATGGGTATGTTCACAAATATCCCATGATGCCTCCACAAGTTGAGGACATGCTACAGACCCATGATAGACTGGCGACCTGTCCAAGGTATACCTTTCCTAGGATCGGCTCCAACCCAACAGCAACACTGAAATCAAGGAGCAGAAAAGAATGAGTGGATGAAATAAATTTAACATTTTGTTTGTTTTATATTTGAATTTTTAGTGTCTATGATACAGTTATGTTACAAAAGACTCATGTCACATGAACTAATGCCAAGAAACATTGATATCTGTTGTAAGACAAGTTTGTTATTAAATGTTACTTTTTTGGAACAGTGAGTTCAGCTTCACTAATCATACCCAGACATGAATATTGCCGCTCTTACTGAATAAAGAAATCACTAAAAAGAACCAGAGAAGCAGGTTAAAGAGCAACATGATCATGCCACGATTGAAAAGAAACTAAAGCATGGAGAAACAAAGTCATCTGGAAAGAGCTGCAAAACCATTTTGAAGTGAAAGACTCATTGTCAAGTATCAGAAAAACGTGATTGCCAATGGTGTTGCAACCAGTGATTCATCAGTAATTCATTAGTCTCAACCATTCATCACATGTTAGATGAATGCAGAGCATAAGGCATCATTGTTCTCAGTCTTACCTACGGTATTGTAGAATAGCAAGCATCCTCTGCCACAGCTTGGTAGATACCTGGTGAAGCCATGTATGCTACTGTGGTTTTCACTGTTTCTGTTTGAAGAGAGATTAAATTGAATATGTTGGTTAACAAAATTGAATCTAATTCATCCTTCCATTCGCCTCCACTTTCCTTTTCAGGGTCGCTGGAACCTATCCCAGCTGTCATGGGGCGAGAGGCGGGGTACACCCTGGACAGGTCGCCAGTCTGTTGTAGGGCTAACACACAGGGACAGACAACCATTTGCACTCACTTTCATTCGCACATTCACACCTAGTGACAATTTGGATTATCCAATCAACCTATCCCCACAAGCTGCATGTCTTTGGACGGTGGGAGGAAGCCGGAGTACCCGGAGGAAACCCACGCAAACACGGGGAGAACATGCAAACTCCACACAGAAAGACCCCGGCCTGATGGTGGAAGTGAACTCAGGACCTTCTTGCTGTACGGCAACAGTGCTAACCACCGTGCCACCGTGCTGCCCTGAATCTAATTCAATCACTTATTTACAACACTTTTCATCACCTCTCAGCAATAACATTGTTTAAATTGTGATAATAGATGTAATAAACAGGGAGAACAATTTAATATCAACATAATTATTAAAGGAGTACAAAATAACAGTTAGTCATAGTATTGTATATTTTGGCAACAATGTGATATTATACTAGCAATAAAATGTTCATTTCTTATTTCGTATTAGGTAGAAGAATGGTTTTGTGAAATGATCAAAATGGCTGTGCTGAAACATGTTCTGTTAGGAAAAATGTCAGTGTTTGGTCGACAGACGAAAGAAGGTGATTAGACTTGATGGCAGAATGAATAAGTGTAGGCGAGCATACAAAAGAAGGGATCGGCAAATAAGAGAGCGGGGAGGGCAGATCAAGGAAACTTAGTGAATCAGGAAGTGCAGAGCATTAGTAAGGAGGAAATGTGAAGCTGTCAAGATAATGAAGAGTTGAAAGAGGAGTGGTACTGATGACACAGCTGTGGGGTCATGGAAAATTCTAGAGGGTAGAGCAGTTGTACTTTTTAACCAGATTTTACTAAATATTATGTGCAGAGTTATACTATATCATCACAATGATTTTTACCTAGAGGTTGAGTGTCACCCTGGCCCAAAGAATGATAAACTGGATTAGGACACAATTCAACTTCATCTGATGGAGACAAACAGTGGGAGTGAGGGAGCAGATAACCACAGCAACATCAGTAATTACGACCCATGTCTGCCTCTCATCGTCAATAATAGGATCACACCAGATAACACAGTTATTATTAAATAAGGTAAAAAATAAAATGAAATACAGTAACAGAAAATGAAATGAAATTAAAAAACAGATTTCTTATGAGAAACTTAATCTAATGGGATGTTATTGCTGATAGTAAAGGCATTTCTTACTGATTGTGTTCTGTCCTGTTTGATCTTCTGTTGAGCCTGAACCACGTGCCATTGTTGACCAATAGACCAAAGCTGCAATAAAAAAAGGAAAAATAACTGCAATAACCAATAATCACAACAGATGAATAGAGCAATTAAAGAAACTGAAGAAACATTAGCAACTGAATATATATACATTTAATTTAATTATATAAAAATGTTTCCCCCTTTTTTTACCTCTGTACAAATCTTTGCGGAAGTGATAGAGTCCCACCACTGCAATCAGAGTGCTCAGTAAAATAGTGACAACGATCCAAGGTGTAGTAGCAGCACAGTGGCTCCTCTTGTTGTAACTGTCTAGATAAGTTGTTGAATGTACATTTATCGAGTTTGAAGAAAGATTAAGTATAAATTTCACTATTAATAATTTCACACTTGCATGTTTAAAATGTTACAAATCCTACACCAAAGTCCTCTAAAAGGTCCAAAGAACCTTCTTCAATAACTGATGATTAACCCCACAAAGAAAAAAAAAACATACTGAAAGGCTTTGCAAATATTTGCATCACACATGTGTATAATTATTTTGAAACATTGCTGTTTCTCACCTGTGAAACCGAAACATGGCGCAGAGACAGACAGCCAGCTCTCTGGTGATTCTCCAGCTCCTGCGATTTTGCACTTGTAAAGTCCTTCATCAGACTTTAAAACTCCTTGGATGGTCAGGCTTCCTGAGGAGCTGCTCCTGTTGTGAACTCCATTTTTGTAGAAATCAGCTGTGATATTGGATAAAGACGTCTTGTTTCTGCAGCGCAGCGTCACAGCTTCTCCCTCCATCACAGGAACAGCAGGACTCTCCAGGATCACAGAACCAGCTGAATGACAAGTGATTTCAAGTTATAAAATGTTGAACTTGTGTTTGTTTGTGACAAAATACTGCCTTCACTAAAACATACCAGTGACATTGATGTTGATAATGTTGCTTCTCTTCCCTCCTGCTGTCCCACACCAGTATTCTCCACTGTCACTTGCATAAAGAGGATGAATGGTGCACTCTGATCCTGTTGTCGTTACTGTTGTTTTCTTACTGGTTTTGCTGCATTGCTCTACTTCCTCTTTCATCTTATATAACACATCTCCATGAGAAGGCTCCTCACAGTAAAAACTAACTGACTCATATTCAAAAAACTGGGATTTGTTTGGAACAATATGAAGAAAAACTGCATCTGAGAAAAAATGACAAAATACAAAAAAGATTCAATGTTATTGCGGAATTAATAAAGAGCTGGATTTAAGTTTCATCCAATCATTCATCCAATCCACTTTCCTTTTTCAGGGTTGCGAGGGGCGCTGGAACCTATCCCAGCAGTCTTAAGGCGAGAGGCGGGGTACACCCTGGACAGATTGCCAGTCTGTCACAGGGGTAACGCATAGACACAGACAACCATTTGCACTCACATTCACTCCTGCATTCACACCCATGGGCAATTTAGACTTTCCAATTAACCTATCCCCACTAACTGCAGATGGCAGCATGGTGATTACCACTGTTGCCTCAGAGGAAGAAGGTTATGAGTTCAGTTCCACCAGGCCAGGGTCTTTCTTTGTTGAGTTTGCATATTCTCCCTGTATATGCATGGGTTTTCAACGGCTTTCTCCCACAGTCCAAAGACATGGATTTAAGATGTAAATTAAAAATGTGATAACCAATAAAATGTGCATAACAACTTTTGTGACCAAACCCAGTAAAGGTGGTGATTGACCAAAATGTTCTTTTTGGTGTTTAAATAAACCATCTTTTCCTCCAATCACAAAA